CGACGCCGGCCGGATTTTCGACACTTGCGTTCCAGCTAGGTCGAATTCACTCACTGTCTGGAGGGAAATTCTATGGTCCGGTTATACTGATTCGTTTTCCGTAGTTTCTCCGATCAACACCAGGCGAATGCCGGAGCAGTACTCTACCAAACCAGCCCCGGACTGCGTGCGATCTTTCCTACCTCTCCCTTGTCCTATCCTGCCACTTTCAACAATATGTACTATACTACCACACATGCTGGGTCGGGAGCGTAGGGCTTGTCTGGGCGGAGGCGGTGCCCTGCTGAAGAGAGATGCCTGGTTGGGGAAAAACCCACTACCCGAGGGTAGGTTGGCGCTGGATGTCACCATATAGCGGGCGAAGGTCACTGCAACATCGCCAGCAAAAATGTGCATTACGCGTACGGGACTAATAACCATAGTAGTTGACGATCCTGGAATCACTCACAATCAATCAATCTATAGACCTAAAAGTCTTTTGAGAAATTAATTATTCAGCAATGAATATGGCGAAAAAATCGGCAAGCGAGCGATGTGGTAGTAGTAAGTACGCCAATCTCTCATCTACGGGAACCGCCAGAGATAAACGGGTCGAACAAAACGCGGTGCTTTAGAACCAAGGCATTGAGAAGTAAACTGTTTGTAGACCGGTCGCAGTTTAGAAGCTGCGAATGCGCATTCCTATTATTGCGAGAATATGCAAATAATCGAGGCGGAAATTGTGCTTATGTGCACTGAATAGCGCGGAGTGACTTAGTACAGATAAAACGATGAGAAACCGAAGTAAAACAAAGAGTAAACCTATACCTTGGGTAGAAAACTGTTGAATCGTGGTTGATCAGTGGGTTGAATACGGAAGTGCCGATTGATTGCGTGGTGCGAGGCACGTAGATCAAAGGCTGCTAGTATTGAACATTTAGAGCTGAACAAGTCGGCGTCGTGCTTCGTGTGAGAAACGTCGGTGTACGGGAGGCCAAACTCATGGTGGCTACGTGGATCGGCTGTGGAAATGAACGTATGGGAAGGCGAGTGGTAAACGTGCTTCTTCCCAAGAGATCCTGAATGGGGCAATAGCTAAATTCGGTGGTGATTGCGGTGGGGACAGATTGATACTTGTGCGGCAAATAATACGAAATTCTAAGGGCGTAAGAGATTCCCTAAGTATAGGGCAGCGTTGCGGAAGGTGTAGGGGTCAGCAGCGGTGACGGGGAGATGCGACGGCCAGGGCTGCGTTACCGCATCCGACCCAAGTACGGATGGACGGACGCCACACTGATGAATTTCTCATTGCGAGATGGACAAAGCTGCGAAAATCCAGTTAGTTGGATAAGGTTAAAATCAATATTACTTCGAAATACATAATTCAGAGCATAGGAAAATGTTTTTGAGAACAACTTCACAACAATGGTCCCTTATGTGGCAACGTCCAGGACTTAGCCGACAATGTGTCTCCGCCCTATCTCCATTCGCGGTTCAGCAAGCTTGTAAATAAATGACTTTCCTCTTCTCCGCGAGCTGAAATTCGAGTGCGGCGACCTAGAAAATCCTGAGCAGGTGTGTCACACACTCTGTTGTAATACAAATTCTTGAATGTATATACTGAGATATTTGTGAAAAAACAATTATTAACACTATGTTTTATGTAGATGGGTTTTACATGATAAAAAGTTCGTGTACCTCTACAATAAAAATCTATTTTTTTCGCTTTGAAAATTGTAGTGAGTCTGGGCCGGTAAAATATTTTGTGCAACTATACGCCAATTTGGGAGAAAAGATATTCTTTTGTAGGAACTGCACTCTCGCGCGGCGTTATCACTCGAAGAGAACTGTTACAGTTCGTGCGTAAAGAAGTCTGTATTCAGAATGTAAATACACTGAAAAATAAAAATAATTTATTTAATTACATTATACCACGATCGGCACTTGGCATTATACCACTTGGCAGGTAAAGTCTCGAAGACAACTGAGACGGAAATTCACATGAAAATCAGCACATTCTGTTACTATCTTGCAAAGCGTTGGAAACTATGTCACCGTGTAGACACAAAACTGTCAAGTAAATTCTGTACATGTCTCAGTAAAGAGTGCTGTGTATCGCAATGTCCGCAAATCTCCACTAGAAGACGAGGAAGGACTGAGGGGTTCTTTCACGAAAGCAGCGAAACAGGAAAGAAGCAAAAGGTCGGCGACATGTTATCAGAAAGAACTTCCTCTGAGCTGTCAGATAACGTTCCGCGTAGTTTCCGATTAAATGACCAAAGGAAGATTGCCGATGTAGAATCAGGCGTCAATTAGATCTCTTAGAACCCTGAGTAGTATAAAGCGCACTACAAAATCAAATGTAGCACAGCCGTGTTTTCGTGAAGAAGACATAAAATCATCATATTGGACATCAAAATGACTCGCGTAACATAACACTAAGAGAGGGTGTGCTCAGAACAAAATGTACTCTCTATTCTCTTTACTACAAAATCCTGGAAACAAAAACTCTGTTACCCGGATGATTTTGTTGTTATTCTAACTGATACTTTGGTTCAAATTAACCTTCAGACTTTCCAGATCTCACTTAACGCGTTTGTGCGAAATGCAGGAAAACATTACTAATGTTTTGAAAATTGGTGATGGAAAATGAAGAAAACTGATGATTTGGTAATTGCTTTGTGATGGAAGTGGAGGTCACTTCACCTACACGCACCATTTCTTGGAGGGAGAAACTGTTGCGTCAGATATAGATGTAATGGTTTCAAGAGTTGTACCCCTGCAAGTGTCGCTAGAACAGCACAATCTGAAAAACGTTCTGGGATAATCCTAGAAAGTCTTCTGTAGGGTCTTGCAGACTGCTCCGTTTCCATTTTATCAAATAAACATACGCAACAATCAGAGAGGAGTTTCAGCAGGTAGAGAAGCAGATAACACAACTGAACCCCATATATGTAACAATTGGTCGGCACAAAATTCAAGTAAACCACATTCTGATCAAAACACTGGATCTGATAAAGTTTTCTGTTGTTTGATGAAATGCTCATTCCTGCATGTGTGTTGTATATTTGGGATGCCTCGCCAAAAATTATGAATGATCCAGAGGAAGTTACGAGACGCGAGAGCAATAAAGAACTTTTCCTACGGTCTTTCTTTTGTCCACACTCGTATAAAGCTTTTTTTGAGTGCTTCTTGCACATATATTGTAAAATGAAAATTAAAAAAATTGGAGGTCACTTAGAAAAAAAGGCAGATGTTGAAAACAGAAAGAAATCACTTAATTGTAGTTGTAGCAAGGAGATGGAAACTTAAATGACGGTAATTCTGCACGATAGTTCTTACGAAAATTCTGAAAAGTCTTCTGAGGATTGTGACTAGGAATTGACTGTGATCTGATCGAGAGGTTATAAACAATTCTCTCTGTCCTTTACTGGGCAACTAATAAATGTGCTGTCATTCAGAAGTTACACATAAAATAGCAGAAAATTTGTTAGTCTGTATCAATGGTTTCAGTTGCCTTTCACTTTCCACAAGATACTACTGATTCACAGAGCCGATTTTATAGATTCTAAACTACTACAAATTGAGCGGACCTCAGAAAATGCTCAAGAACCATGACACGAGAAATATAGAAATTTGAGAGAAAATCACTCGCTAAAATGACGCAAAATAACACAAATGAAGACATCATTCACAATCTGCTTCTCTCATCAGAGCCTCTCATTTAAAGTTTGAGGTAAATGACTAAGAAAACAAAAAAAAAATCTGTCAGACGAAGTGCGCTCTCTATTGACACAACCTAAGCAATTGGAGGACACTCGGAGATTTTGGGGTTGGTGTCGGAGATGATGTCCTTTCAGAAACTGAGTCTGAATAAGAACGTTCTGGGTGTCTGGTGAGTCTGGCAGCGTTGTAAAATGAGTCCAATTATGTCACCGCTCCTTGAAATGAGCGAATACATTTATGGAAGACATTTTTAAATATTGATGTAAGTTAACAATATTACGAATAGTATACACCCTCCAGCAGGCGCGAGGCGGAACGAAGTTGGAAGAAGATTAGACATGATTTCACATACAGTAGTTCTAAAAAATCCGCATCATCTTTATCTTGGTTGTAATCTGCAATATAATCCAGAAAATACACCATTTGATTTGCCAAAATCGAGTTATGAAGGTAATGGAATCAGAAATATAATATAATTCACATAAAATATATGATTACGAATTCCACTAATATTTGTTAAACATTTTTGAGAGCAGATTGAATCGTGAAAATACTTAATACTCATTTTCTCTAGGTGATGCGATTTGTTTAGAACTACTAAATATATTAAAAAAATAGAGTAAAAGTACTCTATTTTTCATCTATTTTTCATCTTTTTTTACTCTATTTTTCATCTTTTGCTTTCATTCTTTGTTTTAACTGTTAATGCTTCAATTCCGAAACATATATCAAAATATTTTACGATTATTTGTAATTAAATAAAATATACACAACAGTGTGTCACAGAAGTGTCACACTGTTGTGTATATTTTAGAGAGGAAGATACACACAGAAGTGTCTTAGGTAGTCAACTCAATCTTCATATGCTGTCACGTCTTTTAAAATTATAAGTATATATTTCGAAGGTGCAGTACGAAGTGGTGCATTCTCCTCGTGATAGTGTTAATGACGACTATGGTGAAAGTTAAAATAGTCTAGTGTTACCTTATTCTGTTTTCCAAAAAGTGACTGTCGTTTATAATTGCGACAAACAATCAATCCTAAAATTTGTCACTATTTCTAGTGTGCATCATTAGAAATATACTTTATAGATGTATCTGTTTATTTTGATAAATCTCATTAGTTTCAGAGCCAAATTTTGCCCTTTTGTGCCCTGCATATTAAGGGAAAAGCTATTTGTCCACCTAGCGATGCAAACTCGATCACTGTGCGACGCAAGGACACACGAAGATTCCGGCGAGAGGAGGTTCTTGCGAAAACTGAGGACGTACTTAATAAATATTGTGACAATCAGAAGTATTGAGATCAAGAGTGTGCTGGTCAGAGGGGATAATTATTGTGGTATGATTCCAATTAAATTGAAGAGGGGTGATGTAAGTAAAGATTGACCAGAATTATTGTGCGTGATAATTATTTTGGTATGTTAGAATATTTCACGGGTAAAACATTGAATAATATTATAAATACTATTAAGCATTACTTCACACAGTTAGATTGGAATTCCCGAGAATTGTGGGATATTTTTTTATTATGTAGGGAGAGGTCATAAATTAATATGAAATGAAATGGATGCATGTTAAATAAGTTAAAGATATTGTCCAGTATCAAAATAATAATTAATCTAAAAATATTTTCTATTTCTAGAGATCATCCTCAAATAGAATGTCAAAATTGTGTACATAACATTTTGTAATTAATTTGTATAATTTATACTTCACTTTTATATTTCATGCATTTCTGGAATCTTTTTTCTGTATTTTATTTTTAGCTCTGAGGATGATCGCTTTGCGATCGAAAAGATCTTTAGTTGAAATAAAATTTCGATACCGGACCACATCTTTTATTTACTTAATTATTAATAGATATCTACCGTACCAGCTATCATATTAAAGGACGCAATTTAGAAAGCGATAAGGGATTATTCACGTTGAGGCAAATATTTATTTGTATTTGACATCTCAATTTTATCAATGTTACAGCGGGTTGATGTTGAGAGTTAAGAAATTGGCCCGGACGCCCTTTTTTTACGGCCATCCCTGCACTTCGTCGTCTAGATGTAACGCTATCGTATCGAACTGTCTGCTCCGGTGGAAGCCGATACCGCAAGGGCAACAAGGACGAATGGACGGTGGAGGTGGAATTCAGCCGCTGTTTGGAGGAGAATTCTAGCGGCCGGCTGCTCTGATCGGTAGTTTCCCGTAGTTTCTTCGATCAACCCCAGGGAATTCCGGAGCAGTACCGTAACAAACGGACCGCGAGCGATCTTTCCTTCCTCTTCCTTGTCCTATCCACTTCCATTACATACACACAATTACACTTATTAGCACTTCACTACCACACTAGTCGGGAGATCAGTTTGGAACTTGCAGGTTGTCGCGGCTGGGGCTTGTGGGAGATACCTGGCTGAGAAAAATGACCCCCAGACAACATGAAGGTTTGAGCCGGATCTCGCCGCCACCTTCAGTGATAAAACATGCTTTACTCTTGCAGAACAAGTGACACTTGCAGTTGACGCGTTCGGAATCACTGATCAATCAATAAATCAATCGAATGATGGACTATTGAGTGGAATTGTGTCAAGTACGTAATACATTGTTATCAAAGTCATTCGTTTAATTTTATTCAATACAGTACGCCAGGAAAGTTTCCGTATCGAGCCCAGTCAGGTCCTATTGAAACATGAGTATGTAGGTAGCTGGAGATCACTGGGACACAAATGAGGGGACCATACTGCCAGCATCTCTTATGATTGTGGTTGGTACGCAATTTACGTTTTCGTGTGTTACAAGCAGCAGCTCGTGCTACCAACATTAGTTTCTCTTGCTACCACTCTCGCCCTTAATTGGGCGGCTGCGGAGGGACTTACCTGGAGCACTACACCTAGACTTTCAATTTGACCAGTTAAAAGAAAATGGATTTTAAACGGTTGTGGTATTTGTGCTTACCGCTTGGGTTTTGGTGGTGCAAGCTCGACCTTCCGCAACACTCAGGACATCCTCTGCAAAAAAGGAGTTCGTGAATGAATACTCATGTGTTGACTTCAGCCGTTACTTGAAAACTTCCTAAGCAAATGAAGTGTCAATTATGCAGCGTCCGGCCATGCGAGACGTGTTAGTGGTTTCATTAGATACCCAGGAACTCAGAAAAAAAAATTAAAAAACAATTTAAGAGTTTCGATTTAGACTGAAAATTTGAAATATTTAATTGTGATAATTCTCCCATGTTCATTCCTCGCGTTCTACAGTTCATAATCACCAATTAAGTACACAACACCTCTTCTTACCTTCTGTAGCGCCTGAGCATTTTGTACAAGATCTAGCAGTCACAATTGTCGCTCGACGCAATGCTGCAGAAGAGGACTCCTCTCCAGCCACCTAATAAATGCACAAAACTCGAGATATTAATTGACACGCGTGAAAAGGAATATAAACGCGCTTTATTCCATCTCATTTTTAATGTCGTATACGGAATTAAAGCAATATTACACATCTGGTATGAAATACAACCATCTTTGGATTCAGTAAGTTTTTTTTCACATTTTGGCAGATAGTGAATCAATTTCTGATATATTATCACTTCCTTGCCTTTGAACGAAACACTGTAAAAACTGTAACGACTGTAAAGACTGTAAAAAATACTAAATCGTTTCTTTAGTTCTGCGGTTTATTTTGCGTATCATCCCTTTTAAGCTCGTAAGTTATCAATAGGATTGAGATATAGTGGATTTCTTGGTCAGTCTAGAAGATTAACATTTTTAATTTGCAAAAATTGCGTTACTTTTCTCTACCTAGGGACAAGGAGAAAGATATTGTTGAAAATTCCATTTCCCTCTGGACGCTACACATCACATTATACATTTTGATTAAGATGCTTGGAAGAAGGATTCCCTTTGCTTGATTTCCTGACTTAACTTGACCGTTGACCCTGTGCAGTAAAGTGGGTTTCTAGTGGGAATAGGATATTTTACCTGTCTTTTTCATTATTTCTTTTGAAATATTTGTGAAATAAACTTGCGAAACTCCCAGTTAATTCAAAACTGGGAAGTGCAGGACATTGCTTTATTCGGAACACCTCACATTTTGCGCCAATTATTGTAGAGGCACCGACAGTCCCTAGATCTGCTTCTTAGGAAACTGGTTGCAACCGGGAGTAGTTTTTTATTCTATCGATTCTACGTTATTCTATCGTGAACTACGTTAATAACAATGATAATAATTTAATTCTATAATAATAATAATAGTAATAATAATAGTAATAATAATAGTAATAATAATAGTAATAATAATAGTAATAATAATAGTAATAATAAATAAAAACTCTAAAATGCAAAATCAGTATTTTCATTAATCGAAATTTAGCATGCAATACGAAACGTTTCTGGAGGTTTCCTTTTACTTGCCACTCTAAAAGCAACGACACAAACGACGAACACAAACAAATATTCATTTAATAAATAGTTACATGTCAGCGCCCCGCTGTGTAGAATGCATGTGTGATAAGGGTAATATTTTAAAAGTATTCACTCTTTCATGCTTGACTAGCTCTGACTTATGAGCTAAATACTTTGTGTATAAAAATACAATTAACTTATGTTAAAAACAATTGACATCAAATGTGGACGTAGCTTTGAGTGATTATTTAACTCACATATTACTTTTATTCACAAGAATATAGCGGAAAAAATGGTATTAAATTTTATTCGAATGCTTGGTGAAAGTGACCATAGTATTCGAATATTGTATTTCAGTTCAGGTAATGAATGAAAATGAATGGAGGCTAAAGGCTTATAGTAACAAAAATAACAATTAAGTAATATTTATGCAAACTAAATTATTTGATCTTCTAAAATTGTAAGTATTCACAAATACCTACGATGATGTAGTATACTTACACAAATGGCTAGGGCAATAAGAACCGTCACTGCGACGAAGTCTGTCATTGTCTGGCCATGTTCCCTTCGGGCGCGACAAGTGAATATATAACATCAGTCACTCACACTTCTGCCCTTGAGATACTATAGCATTCGTACGTTTGGTCATGCTAAGGGATAACGTATCAGAAGCGTCATTTTATTTTCACTTGGGGGTTCGAGAAGGCTTTATCATTTCGTTCCATTAATCGTAAGTCTTGGAGAACTCGTACTGTGCATGGCAAATGTATTGATTTAGTGATGATTGCTATGTGACAGGTGAGGATACGATATGAAGAATGACAAGAGCACGAATACGGAAGTGTATGTAGTTCTTTCATTTTGTGCAGATCGAAGAGGCTCTTATCTCCTTCACTCGTTTTCTTATTCTAAAAGTTTTTGTGAACTCGTTAAGCATGTTATGTAACGTGTACCTGATAGAAGAACTACCTCCAAACTTTTTTAAATTAATTTTGGAACAGTTCATCTTGGTTTTACTCACATTTCTCTAAAAATGTTTTCCTGGAATCTTCTTGAGTTTCGGATCTTGAATTTATCACAATTTTTATGATATCTTAGAATATATTTCTTCACTTTGTTACTCATTCCTTTGTTTTATTTAAAAAATCTTTGCATAAAACATTACTGCAGTAAACTCATTTTTGTATTAGGAGTATGTAGGATAATATTACTATAATTATTAGTGTTTATTTTCTCGCAGGCAACAAACATTCGTAGTATAGGGAAAGTGGTGTAATTCTTCAGCAAAAATACAGCGATATTTCGATGGAGACGACAATAGTCTTGTAATTGTGTGTATCCAGACTC